GAACCTCAGCTGTGGTCTGCTGGTCCTCAACCTGCTCCAAGACCGTAAGAAGCAGCACTGCTTGATGCACCTAGAAATAACTCGCTACGGAAAACATCCTCCTGGGGGGCAACTGCCTCACCGGGGGTTTTGAGAGGATGGGTTGCACAAACATTTCCTTTGGGGGTATCATTGACAGAACACACCGTTACACCAGTTCAGCCAAACAGGTTTGCTGAAACTTTAGAGAGATTCCAGCTTTTAAACCCAGTGAGCAGGAACAGGGCTAGAGAAAGATTAACCCTGGGGGAACGTGGCTGTTGTAACCTTACACCATCAGGTGTACATCTGAGAAACCCAACAGCAGAACCGACCTGAACCCCCTCCAGGGACCAAAATAGATTTTGGCTGCCATACAGTAATGCCAGGATTCTGCTGTGAACATGCCCAGCCCCTCCAGTCCCCCCCGCCCCCCTTTCCCAGCCGCGTCTGCCACGTCGCTGGGCAGGGTCACGCCGGGCTCGCTGACCCATGGGGCCAAGCACCCACTGGTGGAGCAGGCACCGCTGCCAGTGCTGGTGAGAAATCCCCTCTGGTTCCTTCAGGTCCCGGTGGCTTGAAAATAGTCAGCGTTACAACTGGGTGAAACTTTCACCTCCGCTTTTTCAGCTGGACTTACCTCCGTCAGATGTAGTTCTCACATAAACTAAGACCCCTTCAGTTGCAGGCTTCTAGGGGGAGCACAAGTCCTCCCTTGGCTGCCCTGGTGCATTAAAGCAGCCCGAGCGTGTCCCTCACCACCGCAAAGGTGCACTTAGAGCTCGTCTGCGCCAGGTACTGAGCTGTGATTTGGAGACCCCAGGCCAAGCTGGCAGCGCCCCAGGCTCAGCCCCTGCTCTGAAGGCAGTTTGCCCCGTTAGTGTGGCACCCGTCGGCGCCAACAGCCCGACTTGCAAAGCTCCTTCCAAATTATTTCAATACTCACGGTGCTGGGACTGTTAGTGTATTTATGTTTGACTCTTAGCAATGCTACTCAACCGACTGCTCGCTCAAAGCCCTACAGGTCTTCAACTGGAGCAAGCGCAACACCTGAAACAGGAGATGAGGAAAGGGAACGGGAGAGGAGATGGGAGGGGAAAATACGGGATCAAACTGCACACTTTAAACAATTTTTCTTTTTATTATGAAAACAAAACAAATGCCCCAGGACCAGGGTCCATGATTACCAGTAACATCAAAGATTACTTTCTAACTTCTTTTTTTTTTTTTTTAAATTCTGTCGTGTTTTGCGCCAGCAATTTGCAATAAACAAGCTAAACTACTTACATTGACTCATTTCTTTTCAGTAACTGACATTTACAGGAATATACTAGAAATGGCACTAAAAAGTTTTAAGAAAAAGAGTTACGGTAAATTTGCATGCACATCATACAGAAAAGTAACATTTTTTTAAATATTAAAAAAACCCCAAAAATAAAACAAAAATACAACAACAAATCGTTCTGGATTGGTTATGCCAGTATCAGGGGTGAGTTCTAAGTGGCCTGTGTCAAATCCTAGCTGGTGCTTTATTTATTTTTTTAAAAATGACATTTAAAAAGATATGCAAATCCCATTTCTTTAAAAAAAAATGCATCTCCTGGTTTTACAAGCAAGGTAACGCTACTAGCGTAATGAATCCTCGCCCCAAGTTCCATCCTCAGCAAGGCAGAGGCTGCCCACAGTTAGCCCTAGAGGTAACTGCTCGTGTTTGAGAAGACGTCTTTTTTAAAATCCAGTACTAAAAAGGTTGTGGTTTTAATTTGTCGTGCCCCGATCCCTTCCCCCTAGCTCCAACCCCAACTTTAAAAAACAGCATTCCTTTCAAAACAAGGAAAAAAAAATTAAAAACTGGTCTAAGAGTCCCCAAAACAGAGAAAGAACTAGATTAGGTAACTGCAGTCTGCTTCTACCACATAGAGAACATGGAAGGAGACCTCACTGGGTAACTAACTGGTATATATACACGCACAGACGTGCTCGTGTATGCGCGTGGGGGCGCGTGCATCCGTCAGACACACACTCACAAACAACAGTTACACAGTCCTGAAATATCAGTTCTACAGTTACAAACCCTGTCGGTAGGAAAGTTGAAAATCACATCAATACAAAAACTGAAATGATTTTTGTACAGACAACATTTGGTTAGCAGAAAGCTGTTGTACGCAACAGATTCCTTTAGCAGACGGATCGGGGCCCGAGCCCCCGGGATGCGGATCTCCCTCTGGTCCCGCTGAGCCTACATCTGATGGTATGCAACAAACAGGCTGACCTTACAATCAGATAAAGTTTAACAAAGTTTTTAAAGGTGCGGTAATGCTGGTTGATTGACAATAGGTCTGGTCAGATA